GATGGTTGAAAAGAATGGAATCGGAATCAACCCCTTGATGTTTGAGCCGCGGATGGCGCCATCTCCATCCGCTCGCCCTTCGGCAAGGCGATGACGCGCACCTTAGAGTGCCCCTTCCCGCACAAGGGCACCGTGACCATCGAATGCACCTCCACCGGCATCCAGGCTTGGGTCGAGAAGATGGAGGGTGTGGAGTGCTTTAAAGCCTTGCTATTGGGTTGGATCTTTAGACTTTAACTTTTTGGGAAATAACGTGTTTTCTACTAAACCCCGAAAAGTTAAACGTTTGCAGGGGGGTCAACAGCAACCAGGAAGCCAAATGCCAGGATCATAAGCACCATGCGATTTATTCGGCACCTCATATTGAGTTTCTGATTTTGGGCGGCACATTTGTTGGGCTCAGAAGGGAAACTGAAAGGAGATCAAGTTCCTATCTGAAGCCAAGCCATGGTTTTTGGTGTCCTCAATCCTGGGCATCTGAGGTTTTTGGATGGCCGTCGTGGCAACTCCCCATTCGCGGCCGACGTGACACCTCCCATGCGGACGGGTAGTTTTCATCATCCAAATGGTTTGGAGTGACAGCCCGAAATGGGCCACAATCAAAGCCCGGGTAGAGGAAGGTTAGTAAAGGACAGTCCCATGTCCCAGCCACTGGGTGCCTTTGCCGCCTTTTGCCTCTTTTCAAATGTTGGTACACCAATTGAATAGCGATCGGTTTTGATTCTGACTCAAGTTGGCTTAGAGGACTTACAGCTGCGGTATATAACTAGCCTGTCAATTATAGGAGGGTTATTGGCCAGTCCTCAAGTCGTCCTCAGCGAATCGACCGGATCTGACCAGAGACGAAGACTTTGCCAGGTGGCGGGCGGCAGATGTTTGCGGCCCTGCGAGTCGGGCTTCGCTTCTCGGAATTGGGGCTCAGAGTCAGAGGAGAGGGGGACCCGTTTTTAGTCGGTATTTAAACTGGGTCCCCCAGCGGTGCCCGTTTACCCTTTTTTGGGGGAGGGTTCCCCTACTAAAATAGACTACAGAAAAAAAGGGTACCCTTATTCTAACCTCTCTACTGGAGGACCTAGTAAAGGAACGCCAAAAGGAAACCACACCATTTAGGGGGGCCATGCTTTGAGAAGGTTCACCAAGTGAGCTTGGTAGCCCCAAACCTCCTGCTTGGTTCCGTATGCCTGCTTGGTTTGTAGATGAGGGTTTTGATATGGGAGCCGTCGGTTTTCTACGGGTCCCCTTTTCAGCTTAGCATGCAAGAGGACACCAAGAGGACACCGATTGCAAAACAAGAAAGCATGGGAGTACTGTGCGACTGCGATCATGAGTTGGTGGCTTGGATTGATTTGGACCCCTGGTTCTAGCGGGATGGGCGGCGCCACCAGACCACTCCAAGCCGCTGGGTTGGGAAGATGAGACTACGATATAAAAAGTCTATCTCGCCAGCCGGAATAGGAACCCCCCCCTCCCCTCCCCCTCCCACCAATCCACACTACCAAGTGAGCCACCATCAAAACCCGGAGAGATGAAGGTTAGTAAGGGATAGTCCCAACCACAAATGGGTGCCTTCGCTCTGGGTAGACCGTTTTAACACCGATCGGTTTTGATTGTGACTCCAGCGGGCTTAGAGGACTTACAACTTGGGACCCTCAGCACACCTCAGAAATTCGGACCCGACTTGCAAACCAATTGGGCGTGATACAAGGGAATCTATGTTATTTTTGGCGAATTAGTCATTGGGAAGCCCTTTATGTTGTATCACAGAAGTTCTAGGGGTACCTTCCCCATTCTTTCCAGGCATCCTTCTTTCTAAAAAACAACTCAGAACCCTGGGGAAACAGCGTTCGGTTTTTGAAAAGAACAATGGTTGAACAGATTGGACAAGGAAGCAGCCCCTAGAGAAGTGGTCACTTCCCACTTTGGGAAGCCCTTTCTGTATCACAGAAGTGGTCACTTCCCGCAGCCCGGGAAGCTGGAGGGCAGCTGTTTGACTTCCCCGATTCGCGACGCCACGAAGGTCCGCGACGCCTTCTTCGAAGTGAAGTTCCCGCCCACGCGGCATGGGGAGTTCGGGGCGGGGCCCTGCCCCACCGGCACGCTGGGGAACATGCGCCTTGGAATGCGATTCGGCTTCCTTTGCCTCAACTTCCGTTTTTTGGAGCCTCCAAAAGCGGCGGGTTTAGTGGAAACCACCGGTAGATTGCAAACTTTCAGGGGAAATCCAGCAACTCCCAGGTTGGTGAATCATTAGGTTTGCAAAAACATCGTGACCTTACAAAGGTGTTTCTGGGTTTGCGACCGATTAAGGGCTACTTCCTGAATCTTCGCTGGAATGTTCCGTGACGCTAACAACCACGATCTTCCTCCTTCGCTGTAGAACTATCATAACTATCATAACTGTTGCCATGATCCTAACTTGCATCCGCCTCGCTTATGAGTGGGGTACCAGGGGTTATTTCTCTCATGTCCAATGACACAACTTGTAACCTACTCACTAAGTATGTTGAGCATCCCAGTAGAGCGTTTCTTTTGACGTGGCGCACGTCGCTATGCGCGGCGAGGCTAGAATAGAAACTAAACCGCCATTGAGATGTTAATTTTGCGAATTTTGCGGATGTCAGTTTGCTGGACCCAGGTAGATCAAATTAAGTGGATGTACCCCTTTTGGTGGCTGCATGGTGGGTATGTTTCAGGGGCGTGGACACCCTCATACATCAATCCATAGCTCTCGTGGTACAACAAGCTCACCCCTGAAGGTCTTTCTTGAGAGTTCTTCATTTCCGGTTGGGGAAGAGTGCGTATTCCACGAGCGAGCATGGAAGGGCAACCCTTGGGGACTACAGGCGTGTTGGATTTGCGGGACCGGTGTACTGCCGTATTTCGGTATTTCCTATGTCCGGTTTGGGAATAGTTGCCTTAGCAGTTCCTTATTTCGGGTTGGTCATCAGAGTAGTTGTCTAAGAAACCAGCTACAGGATTCTTTTAATATGACACCCCTGCTTTTTACCGGTGTTTGCCCAAAGTCTCGCAGAATTTCATGACTGCTATGTTCATAAATAAATATGGTTTTGAAGTCGCTCATCACCCCATTGCCATGATTTTCTCCCATCTTTGCGACCCACGTAGTCTCCACACAGAAACAAATGATCCTCTGGGCCGGTTCGAGGACCATCTTCTGCAACGACGGGAGCGCGACCCACGTGCTGGGCCGCTGTGGCACCAACTGCCCGGCGGGGTCCATGCGCTCGGGGACCTCAGTGATCTACTACCCCGTCATGGACCACGAGGACCACGGGGGGGAGATCGGCTGGAGTACGGTGAATGGGGTAAAAGGGGAAAGAAAGGGCACTCGCGCTGAAAAGAGGGCCTGCATCTTTCTGTCTTTTTGTGGGGGCGGGGATCTTTCTTTTTTTTGGAGGGGATTAGTTTTTTTTGGGGGAGGTGGAAGAACAGTTTTGGCGGTAAACTGCAAAAAAAGAACAACGATTCCTGAACTTGAAGCAGTTTGGTGAGGCAAAACGATTCATTTGTGGGGAACAGATAGTTCAGACTTGTTCTGAGCCATCCACTGAGAATGTGAGAAAGGGCACAGGGCAACAGATTGTTGGGAAATCGAGTTGGAGCCAACAAATGTGACTCTAGGTTTTTCGAGGGCAAACCCCTTTCTGGGGTTGGATGAAAGGGACATCAATTGAGGGGCGCCATAAATTGTTCCAGTCCCCCCCGTTTGCAGATCATACGCCTAGTTTGAGGATTCAGTGATTTATATAACGTTAAAGAAGGGAACCCACAGGCAAACTGCAACAATGGGGTGTGTCAAAACATATCTCTTTTTGGGATCGATGACAGCTGATAAACAGGTGTTGGCACGGTCTACTCAACCTGGAGGTCAAAAGTTGAATGGAACCCACTAGTGACGAATCCTCAAAGCCACAATTGTTGGTAGGGGACAATCCCTTACCATAAATAGGTGCGGACCACCCTTTCAATTCTTCGCACGATTGTGGCCAGACCCTTTCAATTGACGGACCTGTGACATATAATTTACTTAGCTATACGGGCTTATCAATCCTTAATTGCTCTTTCTGAGGCAGGGTCAGAGAACTTTGGTTTTGTTGCTTGCATATGGGAGGCCCAAAGTTGCTCCCCCCCCCCCGTGTTGGATCAGAGCCGCAACATGTTGCACCCATGTAATATGGCGCGCAGTTGGTGAATTTGTGGACGTGTTGCAGACCTGTTTGCGACAAGTGGTGTTTCACCTACTAAACGAGTTGACAATCTGCTGACTGCCAAGAATGGGGGAGGGTGATTGTTTTGTTCACAGGTCCTAATGCTTCCCTCGCTTGTGAAGTACACAAGGATGGGGATATGAGTCCATTTTGGTGTTGACAAGTTGAAATGAACTCAACAGGGAGCAACGATTTTGTCGGCGAATGTCGAGCGAGGTTTGTCAAGGCGGGGTGGTTGAAGCCCTGCACAAGCAACGCGCCACGAAGAATTGACGCAAGGAGAGTACCCCGTAGGCAATGCGCTTTTCGTGTCTAAAATGGGGCGGGGGATATCCTCACCCTCCGTGATGTATTCAAGGGCCCTTCCCATACATATGCTCTTGCGTGTACAAGGGAAACTGTGTAGAGTTCCTGGACTTTCAGCTGGGAAGACCATTTTTGTGGTGAGTAACAGCCAATCCACTCCATGGGAAGTAAGTGGGGCTTGGGTTTGCAGGAGCCGAATCGATTGAAGACAGGACCAGATGACCATCCAATGCCCCGAGGGCTATGTGGGATCTGTGCTGCTGGAGTGCGTCAACGCCTTCACCTACGCCTGGGCCAAAGTGATTTTTCTTTCAGCGGGAGGATTCAGAAGGTTCGGTTTGGGGGACCACGCCAGGTAGACGCACTGTCCCCATTCGAGAGGGGGCTTGGGCACCTGCACCGAGGTGAGTTTGAGATGCTGCTTCTTTTTGGTGCCTCTTTAAACCAACCCTCCCCCCCCTCCTCGCCGGAAAAGCGTACTATCAGAAAATGGCACTCCCATGCAGACTCAAGCCGCCAGCAAGTCAATGTCATACAACACGCTCGCCAGTGGGTTTGATTCCTGACTCGAAACTGGAATAGAATGCATTCCTGACCATCCCTGAAGAAAGAAACGCTTGTGGCGTCTTTCATGGGGGGTTCAACTGTAGTGGCACCCATGTCCCCTTTCCGTTTGGCTAAAGCTGAAATCCACCCCAACCAGAATGGGTTTCAATTATTTCTTCCCATGGATCACTGAGTATGAATGGGCGGCAGGAGCTTGGCGCAAGGGTGTTGGACGTCCAATGAGGCTCCTATGATTCCCATGGCCCCACCCACATCAGTTTTGACCATGGCACATATGCCCGACTTGTTTTGAAAAAGGCAACAGGGAACTTATAAGGTATGCCATTCAAAACCAATGCCCAGGCCCCACCCCTCTGGAACACAATGAAGGACTATCCATTTGGGTCTGTGGGAAAATACGGGGCCAAGCTGAAGGGTCAGTCAATGCTTACTGTCATCTGCAGTAGTAAGGGGGATAACATGGGGCACCTTGACCCAAGTACTATGAGGAAATGAGGCTCAACAAAATCACATATCAGTTAGAACATATGTTAATCCCCATGCCAGTTTTATGAACATAATTTCAATTGTTGAGGACAACCTATGTCTAAATTGCGCGTCAGTTGAGGGCAACATAAAAAAATGACTATCATGTCAGTTGAGGACACCATTATGTTAAATCCGATGTCACTTGTGGACAGCCTAAAATTAAATCCCATGCCAGTTGAGGACAACATCATATTAATTCCCATGTCAATTGAGGACTCTCGCGTCAGTTGAGGACAACATAATTTCGAGTCCCGTTTCAGTTGAGGATATATTATAAATCCCATGTCAGTTGAGGACAACAACATGTTCAAATCCCGCCATGTCAGTTAAGGACAGAGTTTTGTTGACGGCCCATGGGCTTTCTCAAAACCACACCTCGCAGTGGCTGCTCCAGGTGCGAGAGGGCGCGTGTAAGCAGCACTGCCTCACGGGGCGGGTGAACACCACGGTGGGCGCGGGGGACCTCGCAGTGGCCGGCTACGTGGAGCACCAAAGGATGTTGCACGACCGGGGCACCAGCCGGGTCCTCGGGTCGGACCGGAGCACCGATTTGATTGCTCGGAAGGGAGGGCCGGATTTTGTTTAAGTTTTTCCCACATGAAGATTAGAAAGCCCATATCCAGGCGGCAGGGCAAATTATGGTTGCTCACGGAGCTCTAAACAGGATAGTTTGGCCATTCCCAGCAGGATGTTTTCCGCCAAACCAAAAGGAGCCTCCATGTTTTGAGTGATTTTGCAAGTGAGGGCTTTAAGGATATATGGCTTGGCATAACACAATTCATTACTCCAGTGGCTTGTTGTTTTGCTGCGCCAGGTGAGTCAATACTAACCCTGGGGAAGCAGCTGGGGTTGATGATACTCATCCACCTTCCAGAGTTTCCGGGCGCATGACAACCCGGTTGATAAATTTACCCTCCTGTCCACCAACATGGAACCCACCAGAGGGTCCCTTTCAACGGAATATAGGCTTGCAGAAACCCCTGAGTCGGGTTTTATGCTGGTTGATGGGTGGGTGAGTCAGAGTTTTCCATGTCAAGTGGCACAACCTCGGCCTCTCCGAAGTGAATTGACGAGGTGCCGACTGCCAAAGCCCTGACGACATGCTGCAGGGCCGTCTGATCCTCTTCTGCGAGGATGGCAACGTCTCGGCGGACTACGCCTTGAGCCGCTGCTTCCGCCACTGCGCGCCAGGCGGAAAGTTGGGCAAAGGGGTTGGCTCATTTGGATGTTCAACCAACTTAGTACGTGGGTTATAACCATGGCCACAAGTGGGGCATCTGGGGTTAGTCCCCTTATAACCATGGTTATAGCCTACTAAGTTGGTTGCACACTCAAGCACCCCTCTCCGCTTTGGGTCAAATTGCTCCAATACCCGCTGCCGAGTTTCCAGTTGGGGTCTCGCTCAACTGAAGAGTCCGTGAGCACCTCCTTCCCTCAAGACCCTTAAGACTATGACTAAGACGCAGCAAGTCTTTTTTGTGGTGTCCAGCCCGGCAAGCTCTTGGTTTGTTTCCGGGCTTCCCAGGCCAGATAGGCACCGGTGTGAGAGCGGTCTCCCATGGTATCATCGAGCACAACCGGAACCAGACCTTGCAGTGCAACCCGGGCTTCGACGGAGACTTCCAGGCGCTTTCGCTTGCGCGCGCTTCGCTTGCCCACATGGCATGCAGCCCGGGGGTCAGATGTTCACAGATTCCAGAGACACGTCCTGGGAAATGCCAGGTGTCCTGCAACGATGGCACGGTCATCCATGTGGACGGGTTCTGCTACATGAATTGCGTGCCCGGCACCATCACCTCTAACACCATCACGTTGCCACATGAAGCGCTGGCACATGGGCAGAACACCACCGTGGAGTGCCCCATCGACGCTTGGAGTGGCAGCATGAGGAAACCAGAAACAACCGTGTTGTCCCTTGGGTTTCCGTTGGTTCCCTCAACTCAACCCCACAGAGCCGGTGTCACAGAACAAAATGCGACAACTGAAGGAAGCAAAAAGGGTTGTTTCATTTCAAGAGAGAGGGCGCCGTAGGGCTGTACAAACATCACTCACACCGATGGCCGGACCAAGGCGACCCACCGGGGCAACATCACAGTGCTCTGCGATGATGGTCAGGCTCGGATGAGGCTCAGCTTGTTGACTCCGCTGGGACCGGTCGACCCGGCCATCCTTGGTTGTGAGCAACTGGGGGTTTTCTCAAGTAACCCTTACTGGTTCGAATTGGTGGTTTGGATTTGGATTTGGGAGCTCTGCTTCTTTTAAAGGGTAAATGAACAACCACCCCGAACTACCAAACCACCAATCCAAACCCCAAATTAGAGAGAAGCTTATTTTAGGGTAGTTTTTGGGATAGCGAGACAAAATCCTCTTTAATTCGCAAAATATGTTGGAAAACACCCAGACCTTTTGTTTGTCGGAGTTAATGTTTTAAACACTTACCAGGAAACCCTGCCTGATTTTCTCGTGGACCGGAGGTCTGGCAAGAAAGGAGCCTTTCAGAAATCCTCAGTTCAACAATGCCTTTGCAGGCTTGGCCTTTGGTCCCCGCATTTCTGGGGAAAGAAACCATTCAGGGCGGTTGCTTTCGCTTTCCCAGGTGGGAAAGAGTTCTGAAGCCCAGAGGTTGCTCAGGCCCTCACGACTGGGCACCCGCCGTCAAAGCTGAACGAAGCCAAGCGGAGCAGTCCTCAGGGTGCCGCAAGCGGTGAATCCTTCCGACTCTGACTCGGTGCAATCCGGGCACCTCTAAACATAGTTGGTGTCCTTCAAACTTTCTTGAAGGATCCCTGGTTTGAAAGCCACACATACACGTGGAACCCTGTCTTGTTCAACCCCTTGCGGGTGAAACTCCCATTGCTGTATCTGATCCCTCTTGCAGAAAATCGATCAAACTGCCTGTTTGGTGTTTGAAAAACACAATGGTTGACAAGAGCGAGAAGATTCGAACGGCAAGGAATCAATCCCTGGCAACAACCCCCTCTGACCCCTATGCCAAGTGCCCGCTCCTTGATTGGAAACAGACAATCTGACCAGCCAGCAGCAAAACAGCACCTCAGGAAGACTCCTTCTGACCTATTTGTTTGAAGGTTTTTGCGGGTCCTTGCAGACGACTCCGACGCCGACTCGTGCTTTGGTTGGGTCGACTCGTCGAACTGAGGATCGAGGGCTTCTGCGGGGAGAACTGCAGCTCCGGGGAGATCCTCTCCAACGGCGCCCGCGCCGCTCGACGCGGGGGGGGGGGGTTGCCGATGATGGGGAATGGAGGTGTCGGCCTTTTTTAGGGGGCCCAGAACGGCCCAGAATTTGTTGATCATTTTTTGCGTGATCTTCATGTGTTTCCCTTCAAAATCATATAAAACAAGGGGTACCCTCGAAAGATGGGGCCCGCCATGTTGCGTGATTTTCCTTTTGGGTTCCCCCCCCAAAAAAGCAACGGGCAACAACTCTCAGAAAGAGACACCCAAATCTGTTTTAGGGTTTGTTCCCTGAGTTTGGGCCTTGTTAAGCTGATGCACCAATCTGGAAGCTGAAGAGGTGTACCAGGCTCCATTGTTTTAACCTGGTTCATCCCATCTCCAGAACAAGCCACTCTGTCCTATCCTACGGAGGGGCCGGCCCAGGGCACGCTCCGAAATATGTTGTGGTTCTCCGCCGAAACAGAACGGCAGTTCACAGGTGACTGGGGAAGCGGAAATGGAACACACATGTCACAGGGCAACTGATTTCTCGAATGCTGAGGTCCAGTACCCCGGCATCCCCCACGGGTTCCACCAGAACATCAGCTGCCCTGCCCCATGGGGGGACCAAATCGATCCTTGGACCAAGTAGAGTGTGCCCATCTTGTCTGTTATCCATTGCCTCGGCGACCCTGGGCGAGTCTTTTTCAAGGGTGCCGTTTTTGTGTGGTCTTAAAGGACACCACCTCTCTTTTTTTGTTCCCCCATGTTTTCCTACCTCGCCTTTTTGGCCTTTTGCACGTTTCAGTGTTCTTCACATTTGGAGGTCTAAGCCTGGCCAAGAATCAAAGACGGTGGGTGTTTCCCGTCCACTTGAGGGCGTGACTCTGTGAATGGCAAAGGCGGGGCTAGGTTTAGTAATTTTACAAATACCGGCGCTGCGAACACAGAGATAAAAGTTGATTCGCGCAGAGCAAACTCTGCGTGCACAAGCACCAACAGGATCCCCAAGCAAGCCCCAAATCCATCCAAGTGCATGTCTTGCGAACATTTCAAGTGAAACTTGCGAAGCGTGCCGTGTGCCGACGCTCTGTCTCTTAAAAAGTTGCGGCCCCCACTCTTGGGCACCGGATCCCTTGGGGTGGGCATGCACCCGGGATCCCGACCGATTCGGCCAAGCAGTGGCTGACTAAGCCGCGAACTGCGAAGAGGAAATCGGATTCATGGACTAGGCCAGACGTTCAAAGCTTTGGGCCCGCCGGCACAGTTTCATGTTGGCAGACGCGTTTGTTTTTCTTCTTTTCTTTTTTTTTTTAAAGAGGTACACAGTTTGGAGCAAAACAATCAACAAGCCTGGCTGGAAGGGCCCTGAGTCTGAACAGTTTTGAAGCACATGCTCTTGGGAAAGCACATGAAGCCCACCCACACCTTCCAAGGGAGGTCAAGTGGTGCCTTACAATCATTTTGGCCACCTTTGGCGGGAATTCGCCAAGCCTCAGATGAGCAGTGCCCAAAGCATCGATTGGCCGTTGGAACGGGCGCTTCCATTATCTGGTTTATGGGCAGTGGCAGTATAGCAAGGCTCATTTTATATGCTTGTACAGGTCCACGTTGGTAGAACATGGTTTTTCCCCAAGAGTCGATGGGTTTCGGGCGCTCAGATGGATTTGCGTAACGTGGGACTCGATGTCTCAGGAGTTCCGGTGCTACGACGGATCGGTGCGCTATGAGGGCATGTGCGGGCGCCAATGCATGGGGGGCCGCCTGGACCAGAACGGCGCAGCGGTGTTCTATACCAACCTCAACCACTCCCAGGCGACGAAAATGGCGCGGCGGGAAAAGGCGTGTGTCGTGTTTTTGTTTGGGGGTTGGCCCCAAAATCGAATTTTGTTTTTTCTCTTTATACTAGCCCCAAAAGGGGGCCCTCAACACAAAGATACATCCAAATGTTTCCTGGTTTCTCGCGCTTTCCCCGGGGCTAGTATTTGACTGGGAGCTCTGACACACGCCCTTGTCCAGTTCCTCCTTTGTTCCTTTCCTTTTGGAGGGGACTGCCTTGAAACACAGAGTAACAAAGCATGGTGACCTCTGGCGACGTTTTCCTGTGGAAAGTGGAGGTTTGGGCCTCTGGGACAGCATCGGAAGTGTGCCAATCCAGAAGTCCAGATGGATTCTATGGGTGCAAGCAACCAAGGCAGGCAGGGACACTTGTGAGGTGTCTTGTGTGTGTGTGCCTTGGGTTGGCGGGGGAATTCAAGCTGCAAGTTGCCGGCGCATGGTCAGACGACCTGAACGTGCTTGGCGCCGAAAAAGATCGGAGAACCGGCCAGAAACCCACAGGGTCTCGACAGAGAACGACGAACCTGGACATCACATGGGAATTCAGGCTGAGGAAGCAAACATAAGTTCGGGAGGTTTCAACAGGCTCACGGCATCTCACGGCCAAAGATCCTGGATTGCAGTTCGCTTGCGGCTTTGTTTGTTGCAGATAGTTGGACCGGCATGTTTATTGCACTGGTCGTAGCTCCGAAGATTCAGATCGCCAGATCAAAAACTCGGTCTGTGGCCGCTCTTGTGCAATGGCCCAAAGAAAGTCCTGTGCTCTTAATAGCCAAGCAAGTTGCTCATTTCCACCAAAGGCTGCCCGCAAGGAAAACAGATGGTTTCCGATTTGTTCCAGAACCGCCTGTTTCACACGGACCCATGTTCTCTTGGCCTCGTTACATGAAGATTCGTCGGCAGGTCGGCAATTTCAGCTGCGACACCTTGTACCAGAGCACGCTTACCTTCTCAGGCCCGATCTGCTTGTGCTTGATATGGGCCTGTCTGTTTTGAGGGTGCCTTTTTTTTGTGTGTGTGTGTGAGTGTGTGTTTTTTTAAGGGAAACCAAGAGGAGAGCCACCATTTTGTGGGTCCCCTTAAGAAAAGACACCCACACTATGGGCATTCTCAAAGGCACTCCGGAGGATCGTTGTCCTCGTAAAGGGACCTCCAGTCATGTTCCATATTTCATATGATATTTGGTCGGAGTGCATACACAGAGTTTCGATAAGTCTTGCATGTGGAGAATCCGGAGGTTGACCAAAAGTGGAACAACCAATAACATGTAGATTTGATTGCACAGCAGGCCTTTGGCTATGGATACTAGGACTGCTCGGCATCGTGCATGCATGCCCTTTCCCCATGGTGACATGTACTTGGGCGGATGGGCCGGAAAAGAAAACCAGGGCGTCCGTGTTTCGTCTTCAGCTTGGTTGCTTTGGTTGGGCCTTTCACTTTTAACTTGTTTGTTGAACCACGTGTTCCAGCAACAAGTGATTCATGTTGCACCGGTGAAAGATCTGCCCAACCATCTGACATGAGCAGACTGTAGGGAGTCCGAAGCGTGTAGACGACCATTTGGAACCATGGTTCTGCAAACCAAAGGGGGGTAAAACGACCAGTCCCGCCAATGTTGTTGTCGCATTTGAGACAAGAATATTGTCTCAGATTTTGAAGTATCATTTTTTTCCGGAGGCTCCAGACAACGAGTAAGCCATTGATTTCTGGGCGCATCATGGCGCCCTCACATGTCCAACTCATCTAGAAACCGTAGGTTTCGCTCAGATTTAGGAAACGTATTTCTAGATTATCGCGATTCACCCAGACAAACGTGGGGACCTTTTCACGAAATGGAAGTGGAACATCGCAGGCGAAAGGTGAGGCATTGTTCCTTCCCACGCTCACTTGGTTCAAAATTGTATCCCCCCTACTGTGGACAATTCAAGGTACGTAGGTGATGGTTGTGGAACATAGGGTTGTAGGGTCAGTCCCTGCGATACTTACACAACCCCCTTAGAGTGATAAGCTATTTTTCCCAGAGCCATGCCTTGCCCAAAAGGGTCCCGATGCCTTTGTGCCTCATAGTCGAGGATAAGAATCTGTCATCGACGATTCCCCTCTCAGCCTCTGGTTTTGGCCCATCGAAGGTTCTCTGGAGCTCACCTGCATCGACGGCTCGGTGATCAGTCTGGGCCAGTGCTTCCCGGACTGCCCCGATGGCGCCATCACCAACAACGGCGCACGCAACTTCGAAAGCGAAGGGCCCCGGGCCGGGCGCAAAGGGTCCCGAAAGGTTCCCTGGCTCCCCTCCAGAAAGGTAAGGAAGGACTCCAAAAAGGTCGCCCAAAACGACATCGGTTGTTGGCGTCGCATGTCAATCTGCAGGAAATTCCAGGCGAGTTCTGAACATCAGCTTTTAAGGACCTTTGAATGTGAGCTTCCTTTGGTGACTGCTCAAGCGCGATTGATGCACAGGCCGTATCTGTGGAAAAGCTCATCTCGTGTCGGGAACGAGCCAACGAATCTGAAAGTTGGGCTGATCTGAAGGCTCCTCCCAGCAGGTCTCCTGGCGCCAATCGGCTCGATAGACTTCAAGATGCAGTGCAGCAGCTGTTTCGTGGCGGTTCGTTCTTGAGAAGAAAACACATTGCATGCTCACTTTAGCTCCTCAGATCGACATGGCGAGATCAAGGAGAGTTTTGTGGTTGAAATGGGGGGCTAGATAAACTTACCCAAATAAGGCCTTAAAGGGGTTTCGTGACACGTCGTATTTGATAGCGTGCGGCAACCAGCGAATGCAAACTTTCAGTCGGCAACTTGGTCCCCAAACGTGGGCGAAAAACAAGGCAACTGGCCTTTGCTTCTTGGGCAAGTTGTCCTGAGCCTGTTCAAATGGGTTTGTCTCAAATTGAATGGATGCCACCGTTTGTTTTTTTTCCCGTTGCCTTTTTTTAAAGCCAACCAAGAAAGGTTACCCTGAAAGAATCTCACACCCAAATCCTCGCACCTCGCGTAAGGTATCCTCGTGCCGCCGTTGAAGGCTGGCGACTCCACGATGACCAATTGCCCCTCGCCCCATGAGAAATTCGAGCAGGGGTGATGTTCCAGGCTACAAATTGTCATGGGGAACCACCACAAAAGTGGCGGGTGGACACGAATCCCCGCCTAGATAAATGAGGTCCACAAAAGAGTGCTTGTTAAACACGGCCATCGTGGGAAACTGAAATACACCAATGGTTCCGTTTTAATGCGCAAGATCCTGTTGAGTTGCCCTTTTTGCAGGCTAGCCTTTCATGGGGTTGCTTTTATTTGTTGTGCTTGTTGCTGGACACATGGCACGTGAATGGCCATTGAGAGACCTTTCCAACTTATATGCTGCAAATACCCGAGAAAGATGGTCTGGAGGCTCTGGTGGATCAGAAGCCGGTTGTGTATGGCCGCATCAACAGCTATGTGGTTGGTGTTTTCTCGGGGTCCTTGGGGGGATCCTTTTGACAAGCCCGTTTCTGGACTTGTCAAGTCGGAGCATCTTAGCGGGAAACAAGGTTTGCTTGGGCGAAGCAATAAACATGATAAACATGAACGCAACTTTGCCAGAGGGTTAGTTTATCGAGTTTATTTGGCCCGTTGAGGGTTAGAATCCTTGGGAGCCATTCTGAAAGCGATGACACTCGATGCTGACTTGACACACAAATGCAATACGTGAATATATATATATATGTATGTCTACAGCATGTAGATGTATTTGTGAAACTATTGCATAATGTATATATACACACATGTGCATAAGGGCTGGGTTGACAAAATGCTGCCCAAGTCTGGGGAGACGGGTCAACTTGAGCTTAGGCATCTACAGAAGGAAGCAGCGCTGTCCAACAACGCTTTCAGGGGTAGCAGTTTGAGCTCGCTGAAGCCTTTGCTTTCAGCATGTGATGCCCCATCATATGAGTGTTCAAGGGGACCAACGGATTTCCGAGCCCTCCACCGTTTTGTTGGGTTATCTGCACGGGTTTGGGAGGGTTTTGTCTTTACAACCAGCTCAGAAGGGCAAGAATTGTCAGACTACGAGGAAAGGGAGCAACCAAAGTACACCTGAACCGAGCGTCTTGACAAAACGCACCCCTTTTCCGCTAGAGTCGAAACACATCTGAGGCGAGCCAGCAGCTGCTTATGGCATCGTCCGGGTCTCTTGCTGCCGGTCTGAAACAGAATCCGTTTCGCACGACTTCGTGGTGTTTTCTCCCGCCCAACGTGGTCCTTATGGGCTCAGAGACAGAGAGCTTCATCCAACCCAGGATTTGTCCATCTTTGAAGCCTGCTGGTTTCGGGGAACGCTTACGGCCTGGCTGGAGGGACCCGGGGTGAACAGAGACACCAAGCAAAGGCAAGCAGAGCCTTTCGCGTTTGGGGCACGGCTTGAATTCCCACTTGCTCATTCCCTTTCAGGGTTCTTCTTTTGCAGTTTCGAACATACTGAAAAGGAAACCACAAGGAAACCAATAATTTGCGGGTCCCGGACAACCGTTTCGGCCAACCCACTTCTTTGCCAAATCTCACCAAAACTAGTGGGCACCATTGAAAATTCCACGGCCACGCGGAAGGTTTGCGATGTAAATCGATTTGCCCCATGGACCCCAAAATTGCCATCCTGAGACATGGGAATCCTTCTGGTTTCTTTCTTCTTCTTTTTTGTGGGGGGGGGGGTTCCTTTGTTTGTTTGTTTGTTTTTTTTGGGGGGCAGGAACCGCGGTGAACCGCGCGTTTCCCACGTCTGGGGTCGGGCCGTTTGAGGCTTGGAGGGCTTCCAGGTGGTGACGCAGGGCTCTTGCGGGGATCCCTGTCCCGCGGCGCCCTTCTCCAACGTGCGCCTGGGACCAGAAACCGACGAGGAAGGAACGGAAGGAACGGAACGAACGCGGATCGCGAAACGAGAGACGCGATTTTTCCAAAAGGATCTGCGACGGGAACAGAATAAATCGGAGCATGTTGCTTTGGGTATGTTTTTTGAGGGTACTCTTTTTCAGGTTGGTTTTAAAGGAAAGCGAGAGACGCTTCCCAGGATCTGCGACGGTGAAAGCAAAGAACAAAAATGAACTCCGGGTTCAACCGCTGGATCTAACAGACTGAGCTTGGTCCGGCAGTTGACATAGGTTGAACCAGGAAGCAACTCCGTTTGGAACGTTTGATGAGGAAGGTATGGAGCTTGCAGGGAGATAGAGATGGAGACTTGTTTGTTTCGAAGGCCGAACTGCTTCAGTTGCCTTTGAGTTGGAGGGGCTCAAGTGATGCAGATGTGGCACAACGAATAGCTTTTTCCTCCGGGGTGGGGGGAGTGGGGGGTTGACAGACCCTTTGGCAGATATGGAAGACCTTGATTGGATGGCTTGCAACACTCTCGCATCGTCAGCTTCCATAGTTCAACCATCAGAGGCCGTCGTAGACTGGAAGCGTTTCGAATCTGGGCCACTCAACACGTGCATCGATCCATTGGACTGTGGTTTTAGTTCAGTGGGCTTGAACATCTTGGGGTAATTTGCAGAATTAGGGTACCAGGACCGCAGGCGGGTTCTGACAAACCAAAGCACATCATAGCATTTTAGGAGCGCTGACCCAATACAAGCAATTCACTTCCTTGTGCTTGTGTTGAACAATCCAACATGCTGTGTGTGTGCACGATCTTCCCTTGCAAGCTGAGTAATGCGCCACATTCCGAGCCACTTTTGAGGAACACGCGGCACACGTCCTTGGACTTGGAGGAAGTTTGGCATGACACGGGCGTCTGGAAGGAAGCTTGGCAGGCGGATGACTTCGAAAGTGCCCAGGTGCCCAGCGACGTACTTTGTACGATTTGATCCGTTTTTTGGCGGGAGAATTCCTAAGCTCAACCGGACAAACAGGGTATTCGGTATTTCTGTTTGTCGGTGGCCACTGGGCAAGCAAGCTCGGACGGTGCCCTTTTTGAGTCGAAACGCAGGTTTTTAATCGGTGACTTTTCACCTCGGCAAGCACATGCTAAGGGACCACCGTGACTTCTTGTTCAAGGGAACACTGGGGATGAGTCGGGATACATGTTGCATTTTCATGCCAAAAAGCGCGAGACTAGCAATATAATATATAGGCAATAGAGCAGCGGCATCACTGCAATCAAGACCCTTGATCAATGGCTTCTCGTTGCACTGACATCAGTTCGGAAACCCACCTGGATGTCTGAGAACCAGCCAACAGAGCAGCAACAGCACTAACAGCAGAAAACTGCATTTGAAGCAGCAACGGCAAAAGAGCCAGCAACAGCGCAGACAGCAGCAGCAGTAGAAACAGCAGCAACAGCATTACAAGCAACAGCGGAAATAGCAAGCAGAGCATTAACAGCAGCAGCAACAACAATAATAACAGCAGAAACAGAAATAACAGCATCAACATGAGCGAATTGAATACCAGCAACATCATCAGAAACAGCATGAACAGCAGAAACAGCAGCAACATGAACAATGGTGTCGAACCCGCTTCTATAGTTGGGGATGCTTTGACAGAAAGTTGTTTTCCAAAATTCAGAACCCTGTGACTGCTCAGGTAACCCCTAATTGGTGCGTGGGATAGGTGATTTGGGGATTTAAACCCCTGAGGGTACATGGGAAGCTCCTGCTGACAAACCACCAATCCAAACAACCAAAAGAAGCTGAACTGTTTTGGGCTTCGCTTTAACATAATATTTGTTTGCCGGCCAAATCTCCGGGCGAAGAAAAATAGGCCAAGAAAACCGGGCCAAAAATCCGGGCAAGCAAATCTGGGCAAACATTAGGATATAGATTAGGAATCCTTTATCAAATTTAACATATCTTCTTTACAACAGATTAATTAAGGGCAAAGCCCTGATTCGCTCTAATGTGACTGTTTTGGGGTTCGCTCTGGCAATACTAAGTTAGAGTTGTCAAGTACTGGGCATCTCAGAGTCAATCTTGGTACTAAATTTAGTCTTGGCAACACTAAAGTACTGGCAAGTCCGAGTCCCTCCCAGACCCGAAAGATCTTCACCAAAGAGGACCCCGGCGACTGGTTCTGAGGGGGGGTGATATCAAAGCAGACCCAACATCAGAAGAAGCAGCAGCAACAGCAAACTGTGGCTTCAAGGTTGCTCTCTAGTTGAAAGTTAGTGCCTTGCTTGGTGTCACCTGGCCTGTTGCCTTAGGATTGCCCAGAGGATCTGAGCGGGCAGGCGCGAACCTGCGCAACCGAAGTTGCTGGGGTATGTCAAATTCCAAGAGGCTGAGTGTGCTTCATCGCGTTAGGGCATTGGTGGCAAGGAAATCCCAAGCGTCATGTCCGTCAAAAGTGGCACCTCTGGATTTAATTTCCAGTGGCAGCACGATAGTAGAACTCTGCACATATCACCCATGTATTTCCCAGGTGGGCTTGAATTTTGACTTGGGACCCTGACATCATTTGGGGATTTATGTCCACCAACCACTAACCACTTAGGTGGTCCCATATTGGAAGTCAAAAAGCCACGTCGCACAGGTCTACATCCACTGCTTCGACCGCGTGCTACGAGTTCTGGAGGGCCAGTGTGGTGAGCGCTGCCAATCCCAGCGCTTGGAGGCTTTCGAGTTTGGGGCAGCGGGGTGTACCTGGAGTCTCCGTGGGCCGTCCAAAAGGAGCTTTGGGGTAATGCCATGTTGAAAGGAGACCAAATATATGCGGCATGTTTTTTCGGCAGTTGCCCAGCAGTCTTCGGCGCGGGAGGGGTGGGTCCTGCCGAGGGCTCTGTCCGGAAGGGTTCCGGTTGTCGGGATACCACCCATTCTGATTCCTATATTGAGAATACCAATGAACTCCAGGGGCCGGATCTGTTTCGACTCGTCCAGATCCCCATTTGAGGTCGTCAAGAGGTTTACCAGTCCCAAGTTGACATCAAGGGTTTTAGTGTGGATATCTTCTATGGTACTCTTCCACACTGCAACACCACTCACGCTGAATGACTGGGTTTCTGGAAGACGTCCTCCAAAGAGACCTTCTCATAGGCCATAGTCGGAAGCTTTCCATCTGCTTAAGAAGATGTTGTATTGTCCCCTGTTTGCTTTCAACCAAAGGGAAATACGGCGGATGGACGAAATCTGTTCGCACCGCCGTTCTGAAACCCTGGAACGAGATGATTCCTCTGTACATACCAACAAACAATGGTTTCGGCCATGGTTTCCAAGTGACAACATGTTGTGTCCATCCACATTATGTTGTTTTTTTGTCTTTTTGTGGGTTTTACATTTGTTTTGTGTGTATGTTTTTTGCGCGGAAGCCAAGAAAGAGGAAGCATTGATTTCCATTTTGTGGGGGGGGGGGGTACCTCAAAGACGAGCCCGGATAGCAGCAGTCGCGTAGGTGGACGGGGCCAAGTTCCTGAGCCCCGTCCTGGACCACGCAGAGACGTTTCTGCAGCCATGTATTGAGCCGCACCTCGGCCAGGAGAGAAACGGCGCCGGGGAAGGGGGGCGGGTTTGGGGTGGGGGAGGGGGGGTGGGGGTGGTTGCAGAAAGGATAGGTACCCCACATGGAACGGCAAAGTAAGTGGAAACATGGACCAAAACCTGCGGTTGGCTGGTGGTTTGGTTTTGACCCATACCCAGTTGGAAAGAAATGGCTCTGGGGAAGGGGGGCGGGTTTGGGGTTGGGGGGGGAAGGTGCGGAAAAGATTGGTTGGTCTTCCTATGTTTTTTTTTGGGGGGGGAGATGGTGTTTTTTTTGGGTAAGCCGGTGGTTGTTTCATTGGCCTTCGGTTGGCATTTGTTGGGGAGGCCTTGAATCCGCCCGTGATCAGGTGATAAAAGCAGTCATAGGGATGAGAATCCTACTTTGTGTCACGCCCATGGGTGGGTCCCTGTCCAATTTTACCCTTTAGGCCCACGCCCTTTGCTTTCTCCCTTGTTGCTTTGCTTTACGACCTCGAGTTGTATATTAATTTGATCTTGCCATGTGAAAGAGACCAAGATGAAAACTATTTGTTGCGGATCTCCTTTTCAAAGGAAACACATGTATTTGAAACATCCCTGCCAATTTGGGGATGCCCCAACTGGTATGTGAGTTTTGTGGAGTAAAGCTTGAAGTGCACAAGTGTTTGTTTCAGGTCACGATAATTCCTAGTGTATCTTTCAGAATTATCGAAAGCCATGTTTTTGGTCTGTTTCGGACAACTTGCAACCAACCATCACTTGGACCCCGCAACCAGAGCGAGTTCGTTTCGCATCATAGAGTTTCAAGCGCGCATCACAAATTGGGAACCCGCTATTGTTTTTTGGGGGGTGTCATGTCAATCATCAATTTCCAGAGAACACGGCGGGCCAGACTTTCCGTGCGGCTTGGGTTGTTCATGTTCGATCTTTTCTGGCGGGAGCCAGCATGACACCAAAGGGCCATTCAACTTGCTGTCAACTTGGCCCACCCCCAAAGCTCCCAGTCACCAGATGTTCCTGTGTTGCAACCCATTCAGTTCCATATCAAGTAGCGGATGTCCAACACCTTTCGGCCGCTTTTGGCCTGTATTTGCATTAGGGATTTGAAGCAGGCCGAGAATCAGCCAGAAGTGTGGCAAGGCGCACTGCGAATCAGAGTTCTGCAGGTGAACTAAAGTCAGAGTTCCTGGGGATGTTTTCCCGGCACAATGGTATTGGACCTGGCCAAATCATGGTATTGGCCATTGTTTTTTTTGACCACCCTCCAACAAGAGCTTGCTTCCCATGAAGAGTCATCCCCTGCCACCAGTGTCCCCTTCCCTTTGCCTTTCACCAACAAAAACTCTGGGTTTCCCGTTTGCCGCCGCGGGCCTTTCCGTTGGCCTTTCCGTTGGCGTTTTGCGCCAGGTACAGCGACTTCGTGAACTTGACTTGCATCTTCGGGGAGCTGCACGTGACCAGCAACTGCCGCCTGGGCTGCTTCGCCAACACCACGGTGCTGCCCGGCGGTGCGCAGGCGCCCTGCCTTCACCCTCGTTTCGGGGCTTGGAGCTCTGAGGTGGGGACGGGTGTGTTGTGTTTATTTTTGGAGAGTACCCGTTTTAGCAGGGCTCCTTAAAAGATACATTTTGCCCATTTGAAACATGGCTTTTTCCACCAAAATAAAGGGAAACCACCATTTACAAGGCAACGTTCAGGTGTATAATGTAAGGATCCCTGTTTAGGACAACCAGCAAGTTAAGGGGGTCCCCGAAAAGCGACACCCATTTGCATAGGAACAGTTGCTAGCTGGCAGTTGGTAGGGAGCCGTTAGGGAGCTGTATCCAGATCTGCTGTCAAAGAGGGAGCGAAGGAGCTACCGATCGGAGTACTGTAAGGACATGGTAGGTGGGTTTGTCCTGTTTGGGGGGATCCCTTATTTTAAGACAAACCCATGTACCCGCTCCAAATTTTCTTGGATTTGCATTTGGCTTGCGAAGGGATAGATGTACCCTCAAACACACAGCCTGGTGGTTTCTCCTGTAGACATCATGCAGGCGCTTCCCGCCGGGCATTCCCTTTTTGGATCGCGAAGCCATGGACAGAGAAACATGCCGAAGCCCCAAATTGATGATAGCTGACTCAAGCACAAGATTCGATTAAGATCCCCATGTTTGCATCGTTCTTCAATCAAGATGTGTCTTCCCTAACGGGGTAGCTGGCAGGAGAGGCCAAAATCCCTTGGAGAAATCACTGCATTGCAGTTTCACTGCCACAAGGGATTTGCGACCTGAATGTGCGTGCTCGGGAAGGAATATAACCCTGATGACGCCAGAGTCCCAGAGTCATCTACTTGGTCTTCGCTGGTTAGCACCCCCCTCCCCAAACAACACTGTCGCCCAGAGAGAGCCTCACGCCAACATGTCAGACAAACGGATCATCCAACGAATGAAGGGGCCATTGAATGGATCAACGGATCACCCAACCATAGACGTCCCCAAATGATCCCATTAGAATGCCTCGACTCCTATTTGTATGGCACCCTTGGGAGATAACCCAGCATGATTCATCCAAGCTGGTAAGACTCAATTTGAAATGACCCGAACCGGTGTAAGTGTCACGGTACGGTGGGTGTCATCCGAGGGTGAAATGCACTCGTCCCCAGAGTCGGAAACTAAACCCACCCCGCCCAGAACCCCCATCCCGGAACCGATCTTTAAGCGAGCGAAGAACCGAACTTCAACCATAATCCTGAATCCACGCCACACCCAAACCTTCAACCAACCCTTAACCGAATGTACAGCAACCGAAACTAACCCGCAGCCTGAGCCCGCACCAAGCGGAGCCCAACCAACAGCCCGCTGGCGATATTAGTGCTGAAAAGCGATGCTAGTAAGTAGTGAGATGATCGTGCAAAATCTATTCATACTGCAGGGGACATATTATGCACTATAAGGACCCCCATAGAAAAACCAAAGAGACATCTTGAACAAACCAAGTCGAATCCTTCCAACATGCTTCCAATCAAACCGACGCATTCCAACCGCTTCGCGGAGGTGCCGTACCCCAACCTGGTGAGCGGCTACACCTCGCAGCCGGCCTGCCCACCGGGCTTCGTGGGCTCTGTGACGCTGATTTGTGACGATGGGAGCATCAAGGCGCGAGCGCGTGGGGGGTGGTATGTCCAGTGGGGAACGGGGAACATGGACACATTGTTAAACGTTGCAGCCTCAAACCCGAAAACGCACCAACCCTGAAAAAAGTGGCTCAGAGTTGGTTCAAACCTTCAATCTAAGGTCCTGTTTACACACCCGAATGGGCATACCCTACCTGTCAGCCTTAGTGGTCGGTTTTGTTCTGCAAGTGCCTTGGATGGTCGCTGCACAGCCCATGTATTTAGATATGTACATATACATATATATATGTATATACATATGTATAAATATATATATATATACATACATAGTTACATAGAGCCTGTATATGAGTTTTCTGTGGAGTTCTGGTTTTCCATGAGAGAGATTTCAGAAGGCCACCTCAGTCCAAAACCAGGCGCCAGACAGTTCGATTTTCCGTTTTGCTGACAAGTGCATGAAATGTGTTTGGCACACCATCGAGATTCTTTACCCTTAGCTGGTCTTTCGCATGGAAGCCAGAAGGAGAGACGCAGGGGAAGGTTCAGCCTAGGTCCTGACCGGATGTATTACACATTGCGGTGTCAGCCATTGCATGTTTGCTTCAGCTAGAATGTTTCTTGCTGGTTGTGTTTGGGTTGGAAGTATGATCACCCCTGCAGATGTCCAGTTTTATCCGCATATGGTCATCAGGGGCCAAGCCACAGTGAGGGACATGCTGTGGATACAGGAAATCCATTTTGCAGAAGCCCTGGAATGATATGATTCCTCAACGTAAATACCAACAACTGTTATGGTTTCAACCACGGTTTCAAAGCGGCGACGGATTTTGTCCATCTACAGTAGGTACAGAGTAGATTAGCTTGGTTCTTGGGGTCGACGGTTTTCTTGAGTCGCACCCTGGCCAGGCCCATGTGGAAATAGCCTAGAAGGGCGGTTTTTGTGTTTTTTTCCCGAGCTTGGGACGCGCTGGCCAGATTTTTTGATGCTCATTCTTAAATTTTCCTTTTGGGGAAGAATCAATCATGGATTTTGTTCTTTTGGGAACTTTTGCAAAATTGTTGTTTTTTGGTTTTGTCGGTCCATGGGGTTCCTTTTGATCCTTTGGAATTCAGTTTGGATCACGTTTCCTTTGGTTGCCATACTTGGGTGTGACTCGTTTGAAGGGACCAGTTTTGCTTCTTGGTTTCCTTTAAGGCAACCCAAAAAGGGGTACCCTCAAAATGCGACGCACCCCTGTTTGGCTTGGTTTCCTCTGGTTGTCCTCGACGATGCACCGATCGATCCGCTTCGACTTTGGGAGCCCGCGAGCCCAGGTGCACAGCGGCGCCTGCAATTCGCATTGCGCGGCGGGGCTTTTCCAGGCAGATCGTGCGCTGGTCGAGTCCAGGGCTTTTGGCGCCGAGTCTGGTAGCCACTGCCAAAAGGGTACCTGTCCGGTCTCTGGTGATGCACCCTGGGTTGTGATCGAAGGAGCGCCTTAGGGCATCCAACAAAAATTGAATGACCGGGCCGCGCTCGCCGCATGCAACGGTTCAAGACAGACGTAGGCAGTCAATCTTGCGGAAAGTTCGGTCGCATCCACGGGAGGTTCTCCAAAAGAGGGTGTTTTGCATTTCACCCATAGAGACCCTGGGGTAATGGTCCAATTTGCTTCGAAGTAATTAGCCTGGGAAATCGCCTACCTGTCTTTGGTTCCCAAAGTATGCTCACAGTGGTGGAATGCATTTTACAAACTCTGGCAGTGATCTATGTTTTGTTGTTTAATCTGAAAATATTATTTTCCGAGTACCCCTTTTTGGTACCAGAAATGGTGGGGAGCCCCTTCATGGTTCGATCGCGGCTCATCTTGGTCTTTGTGTTCCTGTGGGACACATGTTGGAACCCAGCAACATGGCTCTGAAAGGGTTTTGCGTTGTCTTCATGTGGAAACGCGGCCCTAATGGGTTTGGTAATTTCCCAGATGTAATGCAAGTAACTCAAACGGGTGAGCCTGCACTACCCTTGGAAAAGCCGATATCTCTGAAGTCAACCTACCTACGGGTAAACCGATGTAAACCGCACATAAGGAGCGGGGGATGAATAACAAGGCTTTTGCTTAGAGGTTTGATTTGGCCAGGTTTGTGTGGAGCAAAGCCCACCGCAGACCAGCGAGCGAGCGAGCAAGCAAGCACGCATGCAAACGGAAGCAAACAGAGTAGCAAAATAGCAAGAGCGCAAAGCAGCAGGGTAACAAAAGAACAAAGCAGCAAATACAACACACACAACCAAACCCGCCAGGGCCCGAGCGGCTACTTCGTGAGCCACTTGGCCCCTCGCCCGCAATCCAAGGGCAGCTTCCGGCAGGTTTCAGAGGCACTAGTCTGGCGCCCTTTCACAGCTCGGAGCTAAAAGGATGTTTGGTGAAATTGTGGGCTTGGTTGTACTTAGTCGGGTTTTGTTGTCTTGTAAGTGTTGAAGTTTTCATGTGTCTTTGTTTTGTTGTGGAGCTGCTTGTAGGTGATGTCTCGGTTTTGCAGCTTTCGTACTTGTTGTGTGCAGGTGCATGTGACTGGTCTGTTTGCGTTGGAGTCTTCGACCGGTGAACACTTAGAGTGACATGGATGACCCACCCACAAGTGTAATCTACTGCTTCTCGCGTTTGGCACTCCAGGTTTATCCGCAAAGCACTCCCGTGTCCTGCCCCCCGTTCCACACCATTGACGATGGGCAGACCTTCGCAACTTGGGGTCCTTTTCGCACTTTGGGATATTCCTGGAAGCAATGGTCAATAGTGCCATCTCATTTCCCCTTGCTATTTGGGGCCACCACAATACTGAAAGGTAGCTCTAGTGAATTATGAATGTTTTAAATTCTGAGGGACACATAAAGGGGACAATTCGCAAAGCCTTGCCACAGCACCTTGATGCTATCATAAAAGTGATCCTAGCATTGAGTTGTGTTTGCTTCATTTGAGCCAAGCCCCCAAATGGGTTTGTCTCAAAACAGTGGACCTCAAACAAGTGGCTTCGGGGTTCCTCTTTGTTTCCGTTTCACACCCCAGGAAGGTTACACTTAGAAAAATGAGCCAGCCCTCGAGCCAGACACTAAGCTCAATTCGACTCAGAGGGCTATCCAGCCTGCCTTTTGAGGTCCCTCCCATAGGTTGTAGGGCATTGCGGAGATGGGATCTGTTCAAGGCTGCCCCATGGTTTTGAAAGCGTGGTTTTAGGTTGCCATTTTCTGTGATACCAAGAGAACTTCCAGATCAAAATGACAGCAGTAGTCACAGATGCCCGACTTTGATATCAAAGAAAGGCTTGTTTCCCACAGCCATGAGGTATCGCGTCTTGAGGTTGTTTGACAGGGAATCGAGGGACCATTGGATGGGCTTCACTGATTGGGGGTGGGCGTGCATTGAAGAAGATCTGTTCCCAAGAAGCATCGACGCGCAAAGAATTGCATGCTGCATTTCGCCTGTTGGAAGCTACACCTCATGAGAATTGATGGAGGCTTGAGGAACAGTGTTTCAAAGAAGCACGTTGAGGAATGTGTGGCTTAGTTGCCGAAAGCTTTTGTGCTCGTAGTCTTATTGTGGTGCTTTCCCGTGTTCCCTTCTGTAAACGATTCACTTGCATGTGCCACGCAACATTGATCTTGCCATTCATTGTCGGCTACTTCATTGGCTTGATATTGTCGGCAAAGGTTCAAGCCGTTCAACAAGTTTAGTCTGTGCAGGGATGCTTGGCTTCGATTCGTGCCAGGTATCGCATGATTTTGGGCCGGGCTATTGGTCTTTCACCCCCCCTCTTTTTGTTTCTCTTTTGTGTTTGGGCCCGAGTTCTAAGGAAAAATAACGAATATGTAAAGGGTGGCTTGGTGAAGGTGTTTGATTCGGTTTGGAGTCAGGGGTTTGCATGCTTTTTCTGAACGGATATCAGTAGTGGTTTGGGTGTGTCTTTCTCTGAAGGTACCTATTTTTTGCAACTTAGGGAAGGAACACTATTTGTGCGCCACTTGTGGGTGTTGAAAAAGACGAGGCAGGACTTCCGGACTTCCTTTTGGGACCCGTTGCGCAACGGGTAGCCGAGTCGCCGAGTCGCCGAGTCAGGAGATCCAGTACAACGAGACTCGGCTGGTGCGCTGCCCCACGGGCTACGTGGGGCAGCTCCGTTTGCGGTGCCTGGGCACCGTGGTCATTGAGGAGGGCGAGTGCCCCAGGAACTGCTTGGAAGGTGCCCAGTCGGTCGGCGCGCCGGAGTCTCCGAAAATATGTGGCCGGTTTGAGGGTTAAAAATGGCGCGTGGGGCAAAACCGTTGCGGGATACCATTGTGGGGGATTGCTGCACCACCCAGTTTGGAACGTATTTTAGTGGGGATTGGGATGTTCGCTGGGGGTACGGGCTTTTGACCCATGGCTCAAATGGGTTGAGGAACCCTCTTTTGGTTGGTTTTAATGGGAAACCAGGCGGGAAAAAAATAGAACGACGCCATTTTGGTCGGGTCTGATTCCTATTTAAGACACACCCAGAGATGAAGCATAATCAGAACATGTTTTCGGAGTACCCCACCACACCTTTCCCAGTGCTTCCAGCTAGCAGGTACAGGTAATCTTCAGTAAATTTCGCCTCGGCTTTTACATGGATGGCTTCCCCTAGATGTATATGAGTCAACCTCAGAATTATCAAAGACCACTTTATCAACGGCGTTTCATTCAATACTGGTTTTTTGCATTTTCCTTGGAGAACGATAGGGGACTCACAAAAAACGATACCCCTGAACATGGTTTGTGCTGGACCTTCGAGCTGGAGCTGCCGAAGTCTAACTTGTTTACCGTGCCTGTACTGAAAGCTGCGACTTGCGACCTGGAGGTTGCTGCCAGCAAGCAAAAGCCGCTTAGACTGACACGTGACCGCCGCAAGCTGCGACCTTCGAGCTGGAGCTGCCGAAGTGTAACTTGTGCACTGCGCTTGTGGTGAAAGTTGCGACTTGCGACCTTGAGGTTGCTGCCAGCAAGCAAGCCGCCAAGACTGATATATGATTACCGCAAGGCAGAGAAGGCTATTGTGTGTTTGCTTGGCTCTAACAGCTTATGGAAAATTGTGAAAATTTTCGTCACGCGACACACGCCCAGAACGATACCCCGGTCGATACCCCGTCGATACCCCGAGCATTGGCCCGAGTTGCAAATGTGAGGCCTAGTGCATTTGCTTACAAAAGACTACGCGTGTGGTTCCAGTGCTGTGTTTGCGTAGAAAGTTTGTCGGGTACTTTTCGAGTTCGCGCGGCGCTATAGGGGTTTGCGTAGAAAGTTTGTTGGGCACGCGTGGTCACCGCGAAGAGGGTTCACCGGGCACTTTCCAAATTCGCACGGAGTCGCAGCGAGGGCGCTTTGACACGCGCAATCCTCGCAGAGGGTTCATTGGGCACTTTACGAATTTGCACGGCGCCACAGCGAGAGCGCTTGGGCGCGCAGGATCACTGCAGAGGGTTCACCGGGCACTTTCCAAATTCGCACGGCGTCGCAGCGAGGGCGCTTTGACACGCGCAATCCTCGCAGAGGGTGGCGAGAGCGCTTGGGCACGCAGGATCCCTGCAGAGGGTTCATCGGGCAGTTTTAAAATTCGCACGGCGTCACAGCGAGGGCGCTGTGGCACGCGCAATCCTCGCAGAGGGTTCATCGGGAGCTTTACAAATTCGCACGGCGCCACAGTGGGAGCGCTTCGAGGCGCGCGATCCCTGCAGAGGGTTCATCGGGCACAGCACGAACACGCGAAACGTGGAGAACGATAGGGGACTCACTAAAAGTAGAATGAATACACCCCACACAGCAAATATAGACGCTGGCTCATATACAGGGTCGAACCACCTGTAATCGCATCCCCTTTTAGTATCGCAAATTTTGGTTGAAGGGTGGTTCCCTTGATCACCTGCAAATGGAGTTGGAAGAGGGGGTAGCTTGTTTCGATTCGGTAAAGGACAACCCCAAAACCAAAGGTGGTTTCCCTTTGGGTTCCATGGTTGCCAATTGAACCCACAGCAATGCAGAAAAGGCACACGAATGTTCGCTCGACTATTTCGGTGGAGGCGCTATGCTGGTCCGGAGCGGCGTGATCATGCCCCACACCAGCATGGAGCACGGAGAGGCCGGCCGCGTAGGAAGTTCTGTGGGTTCGGAGCCCTCGAGTCTCAAACTTTTCCCACTTTGCTCCACGTTTAGTCATGGCCCCAAAAGGTTAAGCGTTTGTTTCTAGGTCTTTTGAGCACTTAAGCAATTGTAAAGGTTCCGATTAAGAGAACTGTAAGCACAAGCAGGAGAGTCAGCATGTCGCCTGCCAAAGTCTCGTGAGCCACATTTCCCGCACAGCCGCAGAGGGAGGAAGCAAACACACTTGTCACACATAGACAGACCCAGTTGCCTCATGTCCTACCTGCGTTGTTTTGTTATGTGTGGTTTGTTTGTGTTGTATTTTAGTTGTGTTTGCTTGTTTGTTTGTTTGCTTGTTTGCTTGATTGTTTGTTTTGTTTGTTTGTTGGTTTTTTGTTTGTTTTGTTTGATTGATTGATTGATTGATTGATTGATTGATTGATTGATTGATTGGCTGTGTATTTTGTTTGTTTGGTTGTTTGATTTGTTGGTTGGTTGCGTTTGTTTATTGTTGTGTGTTTGTTGATTCGTTCCTTTGTTTGTTTGTTGTTGGTTGGTTGGTTGGATGGTTGTGTGTGTGTGTGTTTCTTGGGTGCGTTGTGTGTTTGTGTTTTTTTGTTTTCTGATGGCTTTGTTTGTTTGGTTGTTTGTTTGTTTGTGTGCGTGTTAATTTGTTTTGCATGGTTTGCGTGTCTGTTGGTTTTGTTTCCGTATTGGTTGCTGGTTTGTGCGTTGTTATTTGTTTGCTTGTTTTGTTTTGTTTTGTTTCGTGTTGTTTTGTGGGTTCTGTGTCTGCTGGGTTGGCTGTGTATTTCTTTGTTTTAGTTGGTTTTGCTGCTTGTTTATCTATTGATCGTTGTTTCGTGGCTGTTCTTGTTTATGTTTGTTTGCTTGTTTGTTGTTGGTTGGTTGCCCGGTGACCTGATTTTTGTGTTTGGTTGCATGGTTGCTTGATTGTTGTCTGGGTTTATTTGATGTACTTTGTTTGTTGGTTGGTTGTAGCTTGGCGTGTTGTTTATTGTGCTTGTGTGTGTTGTTTCATTTGCGTGTTGTTTGTTTGTATGTTTGTTTGTTTGTATGTTGTTTTGTTTGTTTGATTATTTTCTTTGTTGGGTTGTTGGGTTGTTGGTTTGTGTGTGTTTTGTGTGTTTTGTGTGTTTTGTGTGTTTTGTGCTTTGGTTGGTTGATTGTTTTGTTTGTTGGGTTGTTGGGTTGTTGGTTTGTGTGTTTTGTGTGTTGTGTGCTTTGTTTGGTTGCTTGTTTTGCTGTTTGTGTTGCAGTTGTTTTGTTGTTTGTGTTTGGGTGTTTGTGTTTGTGGTTAAATTGTTCGTTGTGTTGTCTTGTTGTTGTTGCTGCTGGTGTTTGCGTTTGTTGGTGTCGGTATTGCATTTGTTGTTGTGTTTGCGTGTGTGGTTGTGTTTGTATTTGTGGTTGTTTGTGTATTTGTGGGTTTGTTGTGTCGTTGCTGTTGCTGTTGTTGCTGTTGTTGCTGTTGTGGTTAGTGAATGTGTGTTTTTTTGTTTTGGTTCCTTCTTTGTTTTATTGATTATTTGCGTGTATGTGTGTTTTTGTTTGTTTGTGTTGTGCTTGTGTGGTTGCTGCGCTTGTTTGTTTGTTGGTTGGATTGCTTTTGTGTTTGCGTGGTTTGTTTCTGTTTGTTTCTGTTTGTTTGTTTGTTTGGTTGGTTGGTTGGTTGGTTGGTTGGTTGGTTGGTTGGTTGCGTGCTTGCGTGCTTGCTTGTTTGTTTGATTGATTGATTGATTGTTAGGCTTGTTGGTTTGTTTGCTTGTTTTGGCCACTGTGTGTTATGTTTGATTCTTATGTGTGTTGTCGGTAGTGTGTTGTGTTTGTTTGGTTGGTTGGTTTGGTCGCCTTTCTTGTTTTTTTGTGTTCCTTGTTTCTTGTTTGTTTTTAGTCGTGTTGTTTCTTTGTTCGTTGGGTTTGTCCAGATATAGATTTGTCTCAAGATGAGGGCCCCCAAACTATGGTAGTTGTTCCTGTCGCTTCCCTTCAAAACGGCCCCAAAACAAGACACCAGGTGTGCCTCATATCTGCCATGGTCATTGACGTGTTTCTTGGGATTCATTAGTAGGGATGGTGGTGACCCAGGTGTTCTGACAACTCATTCAAGACACTGTTCAACAAATCAACACATGTTGGACGACGATTCTTTCTCATCTCAAATGATCTTCGGCCTTTCCTCTTTTTCATCTTCATCTTCAAACATAGCATAGTGCTTATCTTGATATCCTTGAACTAATTTACTTACATGTATGGTACATACCATAAATTAAGTTTCATCCATTGCTTTGTGTGCATACCATGTTTGTTTGAGCAAAAGAGACGGTTTATTCTATTATACATTCTACTACAGTGACAACGGTACCTCTTTTTGGGGTTGGTTGAAAAGCAAGCAAAAGGAACACATGTTGTTTTAGTGATTGTTGTTTTGCGGGGCGGGGTTCCCTAGTTCATCCTTTACCATCCTGCCGAAAACTACCCCAACGCCGAATCCCTCTGGTCATGTGGACTAAATGGAGAAAATGTGACTAGATGGTCAGGGTCGGATTTCCCCTCCCCCCCAAAAAAAAAGGAGAAACAAATCCTCAATCCCAATTTGCCCCCCAAAAAATGCAACTCCAAACGCAATATACCCAACAAAAAACAAAACTCCAAACCCAATTTACCCAAAAACAAAAACAACTCCAAACCCAATTTACCAAAAAAACAAAGCAAACCCCCGAAGCGCATCGGGAGGTGAGCAACGAGCGGAAATGCCCCGTGAACTTCGTGGGTTCCATCCGGCTCCGCTGCAGCGACTCCGTGGTCTCCGTGGCCAGTGGCCAGCGACCCTGCCGAAGAGGAGTCCCAACAAGGACGCGCCCGTATATGTATATATATATACATATCCAATATACATTTACATATATACACATACATATACATATATACATATACATATATGTATATACATGTATTATTTTTCTCCGGGTGTGTGTGTGTGTTTTTGTTTGTTTGTTTGTTTGTTTGTTTGTTTGTTTGCTTGTTTGTTTGTTTGTTTGTTTGTTTGTTTGTTTGTTATTTTGAGGATGTTTTTGTGTTGGTTTGAACGGAGTGCAAGTCATTTTGGGGGTGCCGGATTTGAACACATGAAGACATACCCATATGACTCTGCCAATTGGCAAGCGATTCCACCGATGTGGGTGCAACATGAGCGAAAGCCATGAAGGGCCTTCATGCAGGGTCCCTTATTCTTTCAGGTTTTGGACTTCTTAGAACATGTTGGGCCCAACACAAGCCATGCAAGGCCCCAGTACAAGGACCTGCTGGTGTTCTTATCATATCCAATACATCATGAAGTGTAAGTCGTTCTGTTTGTGTATGTGTGTATAGATACACTTGTGTATCTTTGTATAGCCCATGCAAACCCTCCAGACCTCATCAATGTCATCGAGAGGGAGCTCCGGTGCTCAGGTGCTACGAGCACTGCGGCTATGGCCAGGTGCAAGGGGCGGAGTACAGAAACCTCGAGCACGCGCCTGGCAACAAGGGGCTGGGGCTCGTGTTGGGAGCGGCAGTGAGCTGCCCTTGTTTGGGTTCTCCACTCTTTTTAACCTTGCAAATAATATGTTAATACGAACCAGGATCATGAATACGTTTTTTGGTTCGGGCGGGCAAAGCTGAGGTACTTGTGGTTAAGGCTGCGTTCCCGTGTGCCACGGCTCAGAGAGGTATTTGGAAAGCCAGGTCCTTTTGTCCTGCGGTGTCACATGACCTGTTTGGCCATGCAGAAGTGCAGTTCCTTTGGTGGGAATGTTTGAAGGCAACTGTTCGGACCCCTTTAGTTGATGTCGTATCTTCTGGGAGCAACCGAATGCTGATTAGCGACCTTTGAGCCATATGAAGCTTTATGTCATAGTGTCGCTGAACAAAATCCATTTCGCCCCAGTTGGGATTGGTGGCTTATCCCAGTATGTATAGCTTGTTTTTTCTTCTTCTTCTTCTCTGCCGCTTTAGCTGCCTGTCTGTGACCGCTACTGCGGAACTGCTGATCTGAGGGACTGCTCATAGAAGTAGAAACACGGCAGTTCTTCCACCCATTGGTCTCGCTCAGGAGGCCTATGTTTCGATCATGTGCCCGGAGGCTGGACTGAGCGGAGCCATCACGCGTCACAGGCTGCCACGGCTCCATGTGAGTCTTTATACCGGTTTCACCATTTGAATCAGCGGTTGTGCAAGTTTCCTTTGGGGCTCATGTGGAAGGGAGGAAGTGGATTTGAAGGAGTTTTTCTTTGCTCTACCCCAGCCATGTTTGTAGCAAATGGCAAGACCTTCTTTGGGTCTTGACTTCCATATGCGACAACCAGAAGGTCAAGATGTGCCCTGTGTCGTAAGCCTGTCTGGAGCCTTACCATACTTGTTTGAGTCCTGCACAAAAGTCCTGAATAGATCTGATTTTTGGGCAAGCTCTGGATTTTGTCAGTGGGGGAGGGTTCCGCCATTTTTTTGCTTGGGAAGTATGCAACTCACCGGGGTTCGTTGCGTCGACTCGCTGCATTGTCTTGCCCATCCTCCGGACGAGTTGTTTTCGGGGGGGTAAAAGGACTTCACCCTCAGCTGAGAGCTCAAATCCGTATATATATATATATATATATATGTTCTATCCAGAAAGGAACCGCAAAGGAAAGACCCTTTATATTACAAGATCATGGTGAAAGCCGCGAAGGATCCAAGTTATGTCCTTTCCATGGCGGCAACAAGATCCGTATGCCCGATCAAAGGCTCGTCGTATGCCTACGTTAAAGCATTCAAGCGTTTACACTCTCCATAGCCCCAGCACTGAAAGGCAAACTCGACTCTAGGATGCAGCTTGGGCTCGCCCGAGAAAAAAACGCTTTCCATGGCGATCTCCCTACGGCTTTCAGTGGGAACCATCGATTGTTGGATCTGCCCAGGATAAAGTGTTCGTCCGGGCTTCAAGAGATTTCTATTGGGGCGGAGGGCGTGTTTTTGTTGACGGTGCCCTTCCCAGCTTGGTTAAAGGGACGCCAAACGGAAAATCCACGCTCCAAATCCCCAAAAGTGACACGTGCCCATGTGGCTGTGGGTCAAAACCAATGGTACCATTTTGGGGTAGGTGAATTCACCACCCATTTTAGAACCTATTTTGGTGGTTGGATTGGGTCTCATTCACTGAAGGTACGATTGGGCCTTGGCTTTTGACCCATGGCCAAGTGACGCCACTTCGGTGCGAAGCGAGGTGGGCCAGATCAAGATCAAATGCCTGGACGGCGTTACGGAGGTCCTCGAGGGCGAGTGCTTGTACGGCTGCCAGAAAGGCCGCCCGTCCAGGGGGTAACTCTTCTTTGTTTCCTTGTGTTGGTGGGTTGTCTGGTGTTTTTCTGGGGTTCAAACCACCAGTAACAACAAACGGGGTTGATATACCCACCATCATGTACTTAAGGAGAGTCCATTGGATCTGGGTGAATTATAACACCTCACACGACCGAATTGACCTCAAATGGTAGGTTTATGTGGGGAATAGCCCCCAACCACCGCAAGTTTCAAATTGATTAAAACAAATAATCACCCAGATTGGATTCCTCCTGCTTCTTTCTTTTGTTGGTGGGTTGTTTGGTGTCCCCTGCGGTTCAACCCACCATTAACAACAAACGGGGTTGATATACCCACCATCATTTACTTAAGGAGTTTCCTCCAGCATCCAAATTGGGTCAGCCATGCTTTTAATCGGGTTTGAACCCTGGAGTTGCCCTTTGTAGTGGTGCAACAATCCAGCAAGATGAGTCCATTCTTTCTTTTTTCAACCATGAAACACAAAGTACCGAATAATATAGAATAGTACCATAGCACATATTAGAATAGTAAAGTAAATAATGTAGTATACTACTATTATAGAATAATATAGAATAATACCATAGTACCATAACATAGAATAGTAAAGTATCAGCACTTTCTTTCCCATGTCACGGCAAAGGTACCATCCCGGACCCCAACGGTGTGCCGTTGCAGTTCCCCTCCTTCCCTCACGGCACGAAGATCAACGGGACCTGCAGCGCCTCGATCGCAGACCTGGTGCTGGCTCAGAGTCAAACAGGGGGGTTACGCAGGTTTTGGTCCATGTTTCCACTTACCAGGGCAACCCATTTTGGGTACCGGTTTTTTGAGCCACAGCCAAATGGCTGTGGATCAAAACCAATGGGATACCATTTTTGGGTAGGTGAATGCACCACCCATTTTAGAACCTATTTTGGTGGGGATTGGGTCCCGTTCACTGGGGGTACGGGATTTTGACCCATGTCCAAATCGACCCAAAAGCATCGGAGCCAGGCCCAACATTTCTTGGTGAACCTTCTCAATAATGTCTTGGTGTTTACTATTATTGAAAGGTGATTTTCTTGGTGAAAGAATATTTTCTACAGGAAATCATCTTTCAACATTTTCAGTCGGGGCAAAAGGGCGTTGGACCCGGGAAAGCAAGGGGCAATCCTTTCAGAGAGTTCCTGTTTGTTAAGGGTGTCAAAGGCAAACCTCCTTTAGGTCACCCGTCGACCTAAAGGTCCCTCCTCACGCTTTTCTGGCTTTTGCGGTTCCATCAGGGTAAAACTAGCAAAATGGTCCGCTTAGAAATCCAATTGGTTTGGGAAGATAACAATTTACAGATTGGAGAGTTTTCTCAGACTCATTGAAAGCCATATTCAACCATATGAAACCAGAACCAGTTCGTCTCAAAATCGGGAGCCGCCCTTTTGGGGTGCTTGATGTCGCTAAGCATCCCGCCACCCTCCCGTCAGGGGATGACACCATCCAGCCCAATCCTTTATTTGGGGTTAACGTTGGGATGGTCAACCTGATAGTAAGGACCATGATGTCTATTTAAGGGAACCATGGCAGGCCATAAAAATAGTTTTGACCACGGCACCTATGGGTGTGTCTTTTTTATGGGACCCCCTAAATCCAGAAAGGGTACAGTACCCTCAAAATAGGACGCCCCTATGAAATCAACCATTCGACTTCCCGAGTTCGCCCTGGGGTCATGACTTTTGACTGTGTCTGGGGGTTATCAAAGTCAGAACATGTGGTTGTGTCCCTTTAACCCACCAAACAAATGTGACTTTGATCATGGCAATGGCCAGTCGTCCCTTTAACCCACCAAGGGGGGTGACTTGGATCAGTGGCCGGAAGGCCCGAGAGTCCGGGCTGAGGCAACTTGGGCGTGGGCCAAGTGGAGCTGATCTGCAACAACACGGCGGTGAGCGTCGTGTCGGGGGCGTGCCTCAGACACTGCCCTCCTCAATCTACGCAGCGCCTCGTCTCGGGGAGGGCTCTCGTGTTTTTGTTGTTTTTTCTTGGGAAGTAAACCTTTTACCCTTTTTTGGGGGGAGGGTTCCCCTGCTAAAATAGGCTACAGAAAAATGGGTACCCTTTTTCTCACCTCTCTACTGGAGGACCTAGCAAAGGAACTGGCCGTGTGTCCTATGTGAGTGTGTCAAGACTTTTGAATTGGGGGGGAAGTTCACAAAATGGTGGTTGTTCCTTTGGTGTGCCTCTAAAACTACCCCAAAAAGGTACCCCTGGTAGGTCCCCTTTTAAGCACCAAGAAAAGATCCCCAATGTTTGGAAAACAAACTAGAAGAAACGGGCCAAGTTTCATTGTGATTCAGATGTGTTCCCCGAGTGGCGGTGAACATGTGCTGTGGGAGGACCAAGTTTGATCGAGTTGATCTTCGGTGGGGTATTTAAAATAAATGGACACGTATCAAAGCGGATGACTCCGGCACGGTGTTGGTACCCAGGATCGACGAGTTTCTCTCATGGTCGTTTGTATCCCAGATACGCGAAGATTCCAAAGCCAATTGAGTGGTTTGCCTGTTTTACCAGTGTTTTACTGTTGTTCCCCTTCAATCGATATCCACACAAGGGCTTTGTGGAAACACGCAGCATCAGATACGGCAAGATTTGCATTGATAGTACGCACGCCTTATTCCGGAAGCCGGATCGTTGGTGTTCTTCATCCCGCCGCCAGGCCAGGCTGATTTGTCCAATGCGCAAACCTGAGTTTCCCAACCTGTTGTCTTCCATTTGGTTAAGAAGTTTCCCCTGTTGGTTTTGAAGGGAATCTATCACTACTGGAAATATGTTGTTTTTTCTCAGGCGATTTAAGCAAATGGAGGTTGTGCGATGAACACTCAAAGCCTTCTATTTAATGGACCCTTTGGTTGCCTGAAGCAGGTGTCAGTTCAGGCCAGATTGGTTGACATCGCTGGGTTCGGTTTAGATCGATTCATTTCCAGTGCCATCTAGGGGGGAGGTCAGTAACTCTGTAAGATGGATCCAAGAGCCCAAGGGAACAGAGTCTTGATGGGCGTAGTCGAGTTCTTTGTAATCTGCCATGCACATGGTTTTTTGTATGGACACTTCGGGACAGCTTGGGGTTTCCGGAGTTCTTTGTCCATCCTCTTTAACCGACCACTCGCGGCCATGGGGAGCCATGGCGTCGCTTGTCGTTGATCGAGTTGCCCATAGGTCCCGGGACGGCTCCAACATCTCGACGCCCTACATCGAACATTTACAGCCAGGGCCCTACGCCTTTTTGTCTTAAAATGGCAAGAAGTTCCATGGGACATGCAGGAGAAAGTGCTGGTGTTTTTCCTGGGCAGGCGGACACATGAGACCCTGTTTGATATGATGTAAAAGAGCAACCTTGGAAGGAGACAAAAGGGTGGCACGGCCAATCCGGATTCATTTCCTTTTTCCCGATCCAGATGGTCGTGGTCCCTTTTGCTGCTAGAATTGCGGGTTTGAGTCAGTTTGGTCGAAACAGGCTTTAAAGAAGGCGATGGCAATATCCTGCTGCCAAGCCCTAAGTACGGAGAACCAACTAAAGAAAGCCTCAAAAGCGTGGTCAGGGCGTCAACGTGCCTTTTGTTGGAGTGCTCTTCTGCTCGACCATGAGTTCTCTTGTTTTCTTCATGTGGCCTTCACGACGTCCCCACGTGTTGTCCCACTGAGTTCCAAAGCGGTCAGGGCCGGCGCCAAGCATTTTTGTTTGTCCTTCCCTCGATCCAAGTCGGTTTATTTGCTGGACTGGAAGGCCTTCATTTGACACCTGTCCAACAACAACTCAACAGGCCTTCCGCGGTCCAACAGAACTCAGTTCTCAAAGTGGACACG